TATCGATGTTAAATATTAATATAAAAAAGATTATAATAAGAATAAAAAAGATAGATAAAAATGAGATAAAATAGAGAAAAATGAGTGAAGACAAAAACAATAATATGTTAAAAATATTTTTTTTTATTTTTTGTTCAATTGAAAATTTTATCTTAATTGAAGATTTTACATTACGCAAATCACTTTGTTATTCTACACCTTACGAATTGATAAGGAAAGTTACTCAGAAAAAAGTGACGTACTCGTAGAAGGTGTTCGCAGAGTTTCTCAGTTAGTGGCAGGAAAGAAATCATTTGACGGAGAAAATGAAAATAAGAGACCAGATGTGTCCCGGACAAAAACTCGCTTCTGATTGTCACATCATTTTCTTTTTCCGTTCTTCCCTTTTTCTTCGAGCTCTCAATACCTAGTCAAACCATCCATGGTTTTTATTATATATCCAAGTCTTTCAACATATAGATTTTCATTCGCAGCGATTTTCAATTATATAAAGATAAAATTGTAAAAATTATCATGAGCTTTCCATGCTCGATAGTTGGAGATATAGTTTATAAGTATATCGTAAAATATCAAATAGGTTTTTTTTCTCTAAAATAATGACTCATATATAGTATAGATTATTCCAGTAATATTGCTGCAAGCTTCTGTGCTATATGGATGAATTTAATTACTACGTGATTATTTTATTCTAAGCTAATCTTTGATTGTGATCAGTAACTATTTTTTATATTTCATAGAATTGCATTTGAGATTAAGAGCTTATTTTTCCGATTGCTAAACTACGTTATAGTTGGTTTTTTATATGAAGGATCTCCTACGATTTCGTAATCCAGATATTATTAGCTAAATCTCCCGTGCAGTCTCGCACGGTTTCTTTATCTAGTAGCACTGACGAAGATACCACAGGTCCTCGTGTAAAAGTGGAAGTTTTGCTTAATGATGAAAGTACCAAACTCATAGCGCGAGCCGATAAGTTCGGTTAATTGTTCTTACAGAAAATTTCTCGGACGATAAGGATGTCACTCTCGATTTGCGGAATAAGATGTGAGATAACTAATATATTGATAAAAACGTAAAGTAGCGAAAATATAAGCCAGGATTTTAAGGATGAATTCGAAGGACAGAAACACTTAGGTCTTTCTTAGCTTGCAGTTGATAACTGATGAGATGTGGACGGTTTATCTTCTTTCCGCTCAGAGATGGTCTGTGGATCAGTCTAGACGCGCCTAAAACTTACATCAAGGTAATGAAAGCCTCGCTCTTTTCCGTCTTCCATCTTTTAGACGTTTGCGTTCCGTTCCACCGGATATCCGCTTGATCTCCTACGTTGCTTTTATTTGTTCACGATTCTTGAACTTTCCACGTAGGTTTCTCTTAGCTGTTTATTAAGGAAACTTTCCATGAATATCTAAACGCATGTGATGACGACATATTCTTCAAATATTATAAAGACATTTATACGTGCGCGATATGTATCATCAAAGTGCCATAATCTTACATTTTTTATTTGCGCGTTTCATGCAGTGGCTAAAAGAAGATGATATTGTTATATATCATCTTCTGCGAAATAATTTTATGCAAAAGTGGAAAGATATTACTGCAAAACGTTTTACTCGAGTAATTGTATTTGTTATTGTTTTATACTAGTATAAATAAAAAAATCGTTTCACTTATAATTGAACTACCACATTGTATGTATTTTTTCTATGTATGAAATTATCTCAAAAAAGAACATGTGCAAATATTTTTTTTATCCGCTATATGTATATATATTCGCGGTTTGTACAACCATTTTTCATATTCACTGACCTAAAGGTCGTTTATTCGCAGAGAGTTGATATGGCTGCAGTTCGTTGCAGTTGCACTTTTTTCCGAAATCCTTTTTAATTTTAAAAGTCTTTGAAAATTGAAAACAATTTTTTAAACAGAATATCTAATATGAAAGATATGAATATATAAAAGAATATCTAATATGAAAGATATGAATATATAAAAGAGATGAGAGACAACATGTATAAAAATAAACGTATTAAAAATACAAGAATTCGATTTAAAAAGAAACAATTGAAGTTGCATGCGTGCACATAAATGCAGGGATTATAAAGAATAGAGTATGTGATATTATTTAACTTTGTTTCATAATTTTTTTCTATAACTGTTAGCGTTTCAGAGTTATTATCTAGTTTATTTTGATAGGACATCTTGTATATCATTTACAATACAACATCGCACCTCATATTTACAAAAGATATATTGCATGCAACTGTGTTCTGATTAAAGCGATGCATTCTCTATTGCTTGAAATCAAACATAAATGCATCATAGACTGAATGTATTGTATACTGGAAAATTATAGGCAAAGTGACGAAATACCATTTCACACATAAATCGAAGATAACGTCGATAAAAGCAAAATATAATTATAGCCGAATATAATTGCTATGTTTAATCTGAAATTTTCATGGAAATGATGTGCGATCGCACTGTGTGCGATCAATAGTGCCGTGGTGAATGAATATTACATGTATTAATATAATTTTCGAATAGTTGCCTTCTTCTATAGGAAAAAGTACATTGTGTTATTTAAATAAAATTTAAAGTGTTCGTTTATCGAACGTATCAGTACGTATCAGTCACGTGCTAAATAATATTATTATTGCGATACGATTTTATTTTATTTACATATTGTTGTCAAAAATTAAATCATATCGTGCGGGAAAAAATAAATTTTTATGTATCATTTATATATGCATCATGTACAACATGTAATATTTTTGGATAAATATACATATATCGAATATTACTATAGAAATTATTATAAATATCCATTATTTAATGCGTGATGCTGTCTATTCAATTCATATAAAAATTCAACATTTTTAAATGCACTTTTCTCTTATTACTTGGCAACGTTACCATCACAAATCCAATCTTTCATCAAGATTAAAATTACATTAAAATGAACATCGGTAAAATTTGAATTTAAATTACTTCTTCCATACGTGTTTGTTTTATACATTCCAAACGAATTTTTGTTCGAGACATATACACACGTATGCACATTGGACATCGTGAAGAATAAAAATTCACCGACTTCATTAACAAGCACTCTTGCGATTCCACATTTTAAATTTGTTATTCTCAAATGTAATCTGTTTTATTTTTTGTATCCTAATGTATAAATAAAGAAGGAAATATTCTAAAAAATAATCTAATGATTAATAATATTTACAACACATATACGTAATTGTTTCATTAAAATGATATATTCACGTTGAAAAAACGTAGTTTGTTCGTATCACTGATTACGTTTCACGCGGATATTATTCTTGGATATTATCCGCTTGCGGGATATCGCATTCGGACGTTTTCGAGTGACGCGAGATTACGAAATCTGGAAGAGTATGTCCAAACTCATCCCAGTAGTTTTACGCTCTATTTCGTGTGAGCAAACTCACCGGTGATTTTTCACGAAAATTAAATGTCACGTGAAATGAGTGCACGGCACATCTCCGACTTGCTTCTTGATAAAGAATGGGTGATATTATTCTAATGGTGCTGCAGCCGCATCCTACATGATTCTACCATCAACCGTGCTCATCAGTCTTGTATATCGTATGTTTCGTTCCGCGATGTTGCTCTTCGGTAAACGTGGACTGTATGTTTCTATTATACTGTTTTTGCACGCTACGGTTGTTATTTAATAAAAGAAATTTGATAGGTCGGGCTATACATTTTGCGTAAACCTTTCCTGCGAGAGTTATGTTTAGAAATCGCGAGTCGGGTGAAAAAAAAAATAGTATACAATGTATTAAAACACGCGATGTTTTTAAAAGTGATATTTACTTATTCGGTTATTTACAAGTATTTACTTAGTGAAAATTGTTTTAATCAATTATCATTTGTTTGCATATTGCACTTGTGCGAGTAATTTAAATTTCTTTTATATGTACATGAATGAAATATAAAATTAATATCCGTTACATACTTACGCGACATTGGCAAAATGTATATGCATGCTTATAAAATATTATAATATAACATGCGAAATAGTGACTTTTTGATGATAATATGTTGCTTTTGATTTACGTCACGTTGTATATTTGTGTGTGCGATCACGCCTTTTCATAGAATATTTATTTATCCACTAACGTTAATAAGGTAACATACCAATATTTCACAAGCGCTGTTTTCAATTTTATCTGAATCGGGATTGGCAAAACGATTTCGATCATGAATGTTACATTTATTCATGGTAGACGCGCGCAGAGAGTAAATTATAATTCCATTATAAGCAATAACATATAAAAATGTAATAGAATTACTATCTCTTGCGGAACAAGAATAAAATTTCGGCTAAATGATATTTCAAACAACAAAGAGTCTGAACACTAATTCTCAACTACATTTCATTAAAATAAAAAAAAAAGTTAACACCATGACACGTGAACTTTGGGATAAAATTTTACATATAACATTAAACGTTGTAATTATTATTCCATGCAAGTTATTCATGGTTCGTGTGGTTTTCTTCAAAGGTAATTCGTCGGTGTTGCAACTCATATGCACAATGTTTATAAGGAAAAAGAAGAAGAAGAAGGGAACAGGCTCTCTCAAATGAGGGGACAATGCGTGGTGCCGAGAGAGCATGGTGCAAGAGAGGGCAAAAGGAGAATAGACAGATAGCTGGCGGGAGTAGACCCGACTAAGAAAAGTCGAAAATCTTAATTCGGGCGCGGTGCCGCCCTCGCAACGCGATGGGCGGTGACTCGCAAACGCCGATTGGCCTGATTCAGGAAAGGGTGAGAGGTCTTGTACGGGGGTGGCAGAGATCTGCGCCGTGACGTCGGGACGGCGGCGTGTGCCGCCGACCGGTTCTACTGGTCTTGTGTGAACGCCAGTCGACGCCGGGCGTCCCAAGCGCGCAGTTGTTGGGAGCTATCCTCGTACCGCGCCTAGGTCGAACACCGGGTCCTCACGTAACTGAGAAGCGACGATAACTCGCCGTACACGATATCGCACGTACACTCGCGAGGATCCACATCTCGCGATCTTGCTGAATAACGAAACGAGAGATATCGGTGTATTCCTTTTCTCCTTGGAACAATCGATATTCGGTATACAACAAGATACGCTTGTTGACTCGAAGAAGTGACATTTACGCAATCTCTCGATTTGGGACACGCCGTCTAGGATGTATCGCGGAGACATAATCTTTTACAAAATTCTGACATAGTCCCAGGATCAGTCCTCTTGATGAAAAATTACACCGGGGATCCCTCGGATCAACGTGAGAAGTGCTTTAACGCTTGTCTTTGCTGGACTCCCGAGGGACGGAACGAGTGTCGTCTCGAGGTAATTGGCAGTGACTGGAGAGACTCGACTGGTGAACCGATAGAATGCGAATGCGGATCTTATACTCGTGACATCGAATTTGTTAATCGGATATCGGTGATGCAGCTACATGCTGGAAGGAGGAAGGGGATGACTGTTAATTTTCTACCGAGGATGGTGGCGGTCTTTGTTTTCGCTTGCCTTCTACTACAGAATGGTCGGTCGACATTCGCAGCGTTTACTACTGGTAATGTTAAATTTGTCTTACCGCGATCTTTCGAAGATGAAGTATATGAATAATTGTTGATTTTGGTTTAGTCAAATTATTATCATTTATAATTCTATATATAAAATTATAACTGCCGATAAATCTGTTTCGTATAATAATTGAAGCCAACAATTTATTAAAACACCTGTGCAATAAGATTTCTGAAAGTCTCGTGAGTCTTAAATAAATTTCTTTTTAAAAAAAATGCAAACTGACATTTATATTTATTAAAGAAAGTCATATATTGTTATATTTACAGTATTCTGTAGTATACAGTAAAAATGATTATTTACTCCATAGAAAGTCTATTTAGCTCGATGTTTCTTTTTTTTTTTTTTAGAAAGATACAATATTTTAATTTTCCTTATTTTTTTTATAAAAAAATATTACTGTCGACCTGAATAGCTTGCCAATTAAAAATAAATCTTTTTATTTTTCAGTCAAGAAATATGATTCGAAATAATTTATATTATGCGTATATATAATATTCGTGTATTATAAATTGGCGTTCTTGGTTTGGTTTACAACAGAGGTGATAGATAACTTTATTATGAGTTTATTATACATAATTATTTATAATTATCTATATAATACGATATATATTATAATTACATTAATCTATAGCGTTGTATCAATTATAACGGTTTAATTTCGCTATTAATTACATAGTTCCAGTTTTGTATTTGATTAGTGTGCATTTCAAAAGTTTCACACGATCTAAATATAAATTATTTATCTATAAACCACATATCCCCCGCTGGTATCTCCCACGTTTGTTTGTATGGAGACTTAAACCCATACTATTCGATCGGTAATCTCGGATTTCATTTTGGTCACGTTAAATCTGGCGTTGACAATGGTACACAATGTTCCGATATATTGTAGCTTTGCAACGTTATATACGACGAAAATGAATTACTAATTTGCACTGTGAAGCGCAATCAGTGGATAAAATATAATTTTAGAGATCAGTTCTTTATAAGAAAAAAAAGTTGTACGTATTTTTAAATTTAAAGTCAACCACTCTCCTTATTCCAATTAAAAACAAAGGTTCAGAAAAATTTTATATAATAAATTTAAATTTTGCGTTACAATATTTATCTATATACATATATAACAATACCTATATCTATGTATATTATATATATATAATATTATATATATACAAAACAACAAAATCACATGTTATTTTAATATTTGTATTAGGAAGAAATTATCTTTTTTTAAATATATAGGTCATAGATGTGATTTCTCTCTAAATCTAAAAATTCGTTGATTACAATTTTTAAGAAATAAAAAAGATAATTATATATATTCATTAACGATACAATGATGGTATCATCGATTACATGGCTAATTGACGGTGAAAAAAAAACATTTCGTCACGTTATACTTATGAAATAAAATTCATACTCATACATAGGACATGTATCGTAAAGTTAATACGCACGACACTCTTCTTTTCGACGCAATTGAGGTGATCATCGTCGTTTCGAATGACACGTCTTTTCGTTCTCCCTCGTAAGCACTATCACGAAAAAGCTGCTCGAGGGGCTCTAATACCCGAGCTTGCTGAAATTACGCTTCAATGGCGAAATTGCGCTAGGAATGAGCTACGTCCTGCGCGCGTGCTTCACATGCATAATTCATAAGCGAGGCGTCACGGTGAAACCTCGGGCGATAAATATTTTTTGAGGACGGAAGGATGTAAAAGTGCATGCAAATGAATCTGACTGTAATGCAGTGGCTACTACTTACACGGGTATTAAGCTCCCGGCCGGCACACTTTTCTTTCCGCACACTCGCCTTTTACTTCCACTTTATTATTTCGCGTATACTGCACAATTAAACGGCGAGCGAATAAAATTTTCGGAAGTGGTAGAGTACGAAAGCAGATGCAAATTAATGCTTCTCTTTATGTCGGTGTCGTTTACATCGTAGTACACGCCTCATCGTAGTTACACGAAGAAAGCGTTTTTCTTTCCTTACATTTCGTTTCTTTATGAGAATTTATATAAGACATTTATTATAGCTATCATTGTGAGATGCGTGTTATAAATATTATTATGTAAAACTTCTATTTTAAATGATTTATAATTCACGCCAGAATATAGCATTAAAAAAATAAAACATTTAAAAAGTGTGTCACAATACATATATATATATATATATATATATGTACATAAAAAAATATATGTATAATAGACATACCAAAATCCATGATATATCAATTTTAAATACTATTCTATCCTAAAATCATTTAAAGTGGGTTTTTTGTTATAAATGTTCAAATATCAAATGTATGGATATTATTTCGGATGTTGCATAAATATAACAATGTGTTTATTGTGTAACAAGAATAAATGCAATAAATTGATAATTTTATTGAAAGTACCAAAAATTTTATTAATTTTTATTACAATTGGAAATTGTATACATTTAATCAAATATTAATTAAAATTCTTTATGTGAACTAATATACAAGAGTATAATTACATATACATATATATTGTACAATACGTATGAGGACTAAAGTAAACATAAAATTTGAAAAATAAAAGACAATAGATTTTCGTGAGAATTTTTGTAAAATATTTGAAAACAAAAATGCGTGATCGGCTGGCCATCGATCGAATTTATTCTACTGAAACAATGTGGATGCGTTAAGCCTTGGGGTGGATGGCGTGATTTCCAAATCCAATTGTCTTTACGAACGCACAGATTGCCGGACTTGAAATCGGAATGGCGAGTGGCCATTATCATCCCACCCCCTCCTCTCTCTCTTTCGGTGGCAGTCGCGGTGGATGCGAATTTTATACGGTGGTCATTCAATTCGCATGTTACTGCCCTCGAGTGCAATCTCTTAGGTAGCGTAGTCTCGCGTCGGATAGAGATAGATAGATCTCTGGTCCACGATCGGGAATATGGAGGGTCTCTCATTGTCTCCATATCTGATCGCACTGAACGACGAATAAAACCACTTTTAGTCTGGTTACTGCCGATTGCCTTGCCGTCGTTACGTTTAATACGTACTTGGTGTACGAACCCGATATCCATTCTGCCACCGCCACCGTTGCTGCGCTTGTCTAATTTCAATGAATTATTGAAGAAATTTGATAACCGTTGTCGAATCGCATATTGGCTCTTTTTCTACACATTTATCGATATGTCTTATCGTCTGTGTGTAAAGTTCTTTATTCTTATTGTTAGTTGGTATTGGTCTACTCTTTCCTTCCTCTTTCTTATACTTTTTCTCTTAACTGTCGTTCTATGTACCAGGGGCTATACCGCTTTCCCAACTGTTCTCCGCGAAATTATCTCGTAGCCTAAGGGTTGCCATCTGTTTCGATAGGGGAAGCCACCCCTAATTATGTACGGTGACAGTTGTAAGGGTGCTAAATCTAATATCTAATGTCCTCACAGAGCGCAAGGACTGTGTTATACGTGTCGAAAATACGAAAGATGTCCACACATTTTGGTCAATTGTTCAACTCTGTAAAAGGCACTCCCCCTCAGATAATCACGCATGGTTACGGTATGGTTTATCAAAGGAGAAAAAAGTCCTTCGAAATCGTTTAGAGATTCGATACTTATGAATTAACAGACGTGCAATTCCGAAATATCTTTTTTATACATATTACAACATTATAAGATGTTCACATAATTATATTCTATAATTATATTTTTGTAACTCACGTGGTAATAGTTTATTTAAATTAAAGTCCCAATTAAATTTATTTAAAGAAATTATTTGCAATTTATTTTTCAAAGCTTATTTCTCTCTCTCTCTCATAAAGGTAAATTTTTACATGATAAAAAACTCTGCTTTGGTATATTGATACCTTGTCGAAAACTTTATTAAAGTTAAATTTGGGAATCCACGTGAAAAGGAGTAGAGGTATTTTTATGGTATTTTGAGAGGCATTTTATATGGTATTTTTGCAAATATCTTTTCGGTAATTCAAAAAATATCTTTCCTAGTATATTCCATCATCTTTTTACTATTTTATTGTTACATTACTATTTTTACTATTTTATTGTGTGTGTGTGTTATTACTTTATTAATATAATATCCACAAAGTATAAATGTATGTGTGTGTGTACGACGATCGTGCGTCATCTGTCTTTAAGTGGGGTAAAGTGGGTGGACTGGGAGTTGTTCGCTTTTGAACGTATACACATTCGTATATACGTATAAACAGAGAGAGAGGGAGGGAGCAGAAGACAGAGAGAGAGAGAGAGAGAGAGAGGGGGGAGGGAGGAAGAGGGGGAGCTTCATGTGCTACGCACCCCTGGGATTCTCGCTTCATGCATTTTATATTTCGGCAGACTTTGATTCCTAGACGGGCCGTACGGCTCACGGGAGTAATCCTTAATCTTTGATCGGAAATTATCTTTGATCATGGTTCAGTCATTGGACGTTCTTTCTCGACCCTCTTCTTATCTCTCTGCATCCCTCGGGCAGGTATCTATCCGTGTATGGCAGATACGCTGACGCTTTCGTTGAGGGAGAAAATTTTGGGTAAAAACCGAAAAAAGGGAGCAGAGGCATGAAATAATAATTTCCTGAAATAAAAATATCTTAATTTTTTAAATAATGTGATGTATATACGAACGAGAGAGGGAATAAGGCAGTTTATAACGTCTACGTTTTTTTTAAATACTTATGTACTTGAAAAAATTTGTTTTTGCGTTATAATAAAAATAAGTTTTGCGAATATATGTTTCGATAGACATTTTAAGTTAAATTGTATTTTGTATACAAATTTACGATAAATCTATATTACATATGTATATATTTACAGAGTTTATAAATTTTATTATTGTATTATGAAATAGTAGATTTTATATTATTAATTATTAGATTATAAATTATTATCATATTATCAAATTATCTATTTTACTTAATATTGTATAAATTATTGTATTGTTAAAATTTATTATTACAATAAATATGTAATAATATTAATTATAAAACG